GCAGGGATCCATTGGTTGGCCCTGGGTGACACTTGGGGTGTAATGGTCAAGCGCTGTGAAACTGTTGATTCGTTCCTGTTGCATTTGGGGGACGTCCATGCCAAGGGTTGGGCATCTGAGTGTGCCAGACATACCTGTGGCAAGGAAGAGCCAGCTGGCGCAGCTTCAGTGCAGGCCTTGGTGCGCACAGGCCCTCAGCCACACTTCAGTGCAGACTAGGCGCCAAGCTTTGGGGGTTGAATGTAAATAGCATGAAATACAGCAGACCTGCTGAGCTTGGTTGTTCATTTCGGTCCCACGCCTCATGCTATCACAATTCCTTTGGCCTTGCCCTGGCTCATAAACGGCCCAAAACCTTTTTCTGGAATTGAATAAAGTGCTCCCAAAACCGTTCCTTCGAACTCCACAAAGTCGCTTTTGGAATTGAACAACGTGCTCCCAAAACGGATCCCTCCCCAGAAGCGCTCCCAAAAACGGATTCCTCGAACTCCCAAAAACCCTCTTTTGCCATTGAAGCTCCCAAAGCAGACCCCTCCCCCAAAGCCTTTGTTTGGAATTGAACAAAGTGCTCCCAAAAACGGATCCCCTCGAACTCCCAAAACCCTCTTTTGCCATTGACCAAAGTGCTCCCAAAACAGACCCCTCTCTTTTGGGATTCAACAAATTGCTCCCAAAACGGACGGACGACTTTGTGCACGGGAGAGGGCTCATGTGGGTTTGACCCACACCCAGCACAAACTTCAAGAAGACACAATCATCCTGGACCACGCAGGAGTACAAGGACTACAACAAGCAGTGGGGATATCAGAAGCAGTGGAAGGACTATAGCACTTCGACCTGGAATGATTATGGAGACCATGGCAGTCAATCCGACAGCAGCCGCCGATGGTATCGTCGATCCGACTGACCATGAAGATACGTTCAGCACCACGAGCAATCCAGATGATTGATCCTCCTCGTCTACAAGACTATACCATGAGTGAGTGATCAATAGTTTCACAATTGTTCCGCGTGTACATAGCGTTGTACATCACCCTTTGATACAATTAGGTATCCAAAAAGAAACGCACATAGTGTTTCCCATTTCGAAGGCCAAGACATTTCATCCAGCTCAAGCAGATCCTACGGGTTGGAGTGTTGCTTGACACAGCAATGCGCTTGCCCAAACCCAAACTTACAATGGCCGGGAATCTTCTCCGTACTAATGTCCGTCAAGGTAGTTTGCTTGATAAGTTGCCCAAGACATGGTGAGCTGCGGTGTCCTGTGGAAAGGACATCTGGAATTCTCTTAAATTAGTGAGACCATTCTTGTTCAGGAAGCGACTTTTCATTGGCTGAGTATTGCTTGGGGTGAGTGTGCTTTGGCTGCCAAACTGTGCGCTTGTACGAATATGTTGGAGGATCCTCATACCTTGGAAGGACTGGTCAATTTGATTGGAGCAAGTTTGGGGGTTTGGCGAAGTACACCTTAGATGCTGTTCGGGCAAAGCATGAAACCCTAGTCCAGGTTCAACAGTCCCTGCCCAAGATTGGCCTTGATGTGCACCTCAATGCACCAGGCCCGCTTTTCAGTGGGGTCCAGGTAGTAGTCGAGCAGTGGGGCATGGCCAGCTTGAGGGCACAAGCAATATTCCCACTATGGCTAACAGTGATTGAAACATACCCCCTACAAATGGCTGCCAGCAAAATGACATAGCACAAAACGAAATGCAAATATGTTGTGACTGATGAATGTTCAACAACTTGGCCAAGACATGTGTGGCTAATTCCTGGCATGAGTGTACAAACTGACTGGCCAGTAGAGCATATTGAGGAATATGGACAAATGGGTTTTGTGTGTGTGTGTGCCGGCTGGATGTTAGCATGAAGCATGAAGTTTGCATCATGGCTTTGTTTACCCCGGAAGTCAACTCCCTGAGCCCCAACTTTAAAGACCAGCTTGACCTTCTTGTTCAGGAGGGTGTGTACTGGACAAGCGAAGTTGCCTGATGACTGAGCTGATTCTGTATCTCGGTGAGTGTGCTCTGACTGCCAAACTCTGTGTTCACATTCTATGGTTGGTTGCGCTTGTACGCATGTGTTGGAGGATCCTCATGTCTTGGAGGGACTGGTCAAAGTGATTGGAGCAAGTTTTTGGGCTTGGCCAAGTACACCTCAGATGCTGTTCGGGGAATACTGCTGTGGTATTAAGCATGAAACCCTAGTCCAGCTGACCAGGTTCAACAGTCCCTGCCCAAGATTGGCCTCGATGTGCACCTCCATGCACCAGGCCCGCTTTTCAGTGGGGTCCAGGTAGCAGTCGAGCAGTGGGGCATGGCCAGCTTGAGGGCACAAGCAATATTCCCACTATGAACAGTGATTGAAACATACCCCCTACAAATGGCTGCCAGCAAAATGACATAGCACAAAACGAAATGCAAATATGTTGCGACTGATGAATGTTCAACAACTTGGCCAAGACATGTGTGGCTAATTCCTGCATGAGTGTACAAACTGACTGGCCAGTAGAGCATATTGAGGAATATGGACAAATGGATTTTGTGTGTGGGTGCCGGCTGGATGTTAGCATGAAGCATGAAGTTTGCATCATGGCTTTGTTTACCCCGGAAGTCAACTCCCTGAGCCCCAACTTTAAAGACCAGCTTGACCTTTCTTGATCAGGAGGGTGTGTACTGGACAAGCGAAGTTGCCTGATGAGTGAGCTGATTATGTATCTCGGTGAGTGTGCTCTGACTGCCAAACTCTGTGTTCACATTCTATGGTTGGTTGCGCTTGTACGCATGTGTTGGAGGATCCTCATGTCTTGGAGGGACTGGTCAAAGTGATTGGAGCAAGTTTTTGGGCTTGGCCAAGTACACCTTAGATGCTGTTCGGGGAAAACTAGTGTGGCATTAAGCACGAAACCCTAGTCCACCCTGCACAAGATTGGCCTTGAGGTGCACCTTCTCCATGCACCAGGCTCTGACAAAAATAATGGGCCCTGCGCTTTTCAGCGCGTACCCGCTTTTCAGCGGGGTCCTAGGCTTTAAATAAAAGAGGGGCCCTGCGCTTTTCAGCTTTCAGCGGGGGTTGTATTTGTTTAGCTTTGCCGTCTTTGCAGTCTCCAGGTAGTCGAGGATGTGAGATCAGGCCCCCCCCCCCCTGGCTCTGCTGCCTCCCTGTCAAGGTCAAGCGCACACTTTAGCTACCTCACATTGTGAAACAACAAACTTTAGCGTGCTCAGCACAAGCAAGTAAACAACCATGAGCGTGAAATGAAACTAGTTGACTGGTTGTTGGTTGTTCGTTGGCCACTGCAACAAACATACCTGGGACGCTTGAAGACAACAAACAACACAAGACATGGAGTCACAAACATGTTCCCCCCCGCCAGAAAAATGCAAAGACACGGAGTCTAGCCATGTCTTGGTGTGAGTTACAATCATGATGCCAAACAAGCAAGACATGGAATCTGGCCATGTCTTGGCGTGAATTACAAACATGTTGCCCCGCCAAACAAAAATCCGTCTTGGCATGCTTCAATGTGTTGCCCAAAAAAATCAAGACATCGAGTCTAGCCATGTCTTGGTATGATTCACCAATGTGTTGCCCCCTGGAAAAAACATCCCTAAGACATGGAGTTTAGCCATGTCTTGGTATGAATTACACGTGTTGCCCAACAAATTCCCCAAGACATTGAGTCTAGCCATGTCTTGGTGTAAGTTGGTTACCATCATATTGCCCAAACAACAACGGATGGAATCTAGCCATGTCTTGATGTGAGTTACAAACATGTTTCCCCCCATGAAAAAAGACATGGAGTCTAGCCATGTCTTTGGGACAAACATGCACCCCGCTAAAAAAACAGCCTAGCTGGTACAAACCCTTAACCCCACCGAGAACCCCATCCCCATCCCTCCCCTGAAAAATCATGTTGCATCATGTAGTCATGCATTGAATGCATGTGGTGTGCACCACCTTCAAGCTTGAACTCTCAACAAAAAAATGCTGACTACCCATCAGCAATGAACAGACTACCCTCTGTGATGAACATAGCTTGTCTGCTGTGATGCATGCATGCACACTGTTTGCCAGCGTGAATGCTTAATCATTGCCTCTAAGCTGAGAGGCAAACATACTTTAAACACATGTGAAAACACCAAATTGGTTTGAAAACACCAAATACCTTGACATTGGCTTCCAAGGGATTGCAAGTCAACATGCAGGGATTACCTTGCAGGAGAGCCAAACGACTTTTGTTGCTGCCTGTGATACAAACGACAACAAAATTGGGTTTGTTTACCAACAACCTCCGTGCCCAAAAGGAAGAAAGTCCCAAACAAATCTGCCGTAGGAAACCCTTGTGATTCGGAATGCTCGATTGTCACGCTTTGTCACCACAATGCAAAATGTATCCCGACTCCAGTCTTGAACCATGAACCAGGGCCAGTGTAACGCAGAGTATCACAAGACTCTTTGGCATCTCAAAATTGGTGACAGGACCCTAGAGTTTATTGATGCTCAATGGAAGCCGAAAAAAAAAGAAGGAACGAAGGAAACCTCAAACATATGTGTGCCCGGAAGACGAGCAACCTCATGGTCTCAAAGTTAGGGCCTCCAAATAGCCCTCATGGCCTCACAGGACTCGCCAAATTGCGGGATGCGCGAAGGGTTTGACACTCGTCCGTCACCCTCCAAGCGGGATAAAGGGAAGCCACTTGAAACTAGTGGGCTCAGCGCTTTGCAACCGGCGCACATCTCATTTAAATTGACATTGCTTGAAGGTGGAATTGAGGGGTACCTGACCTGATGCTATCCACCACGTGGTCTCGTGGAAAGCTGAGTCAGCTGCCGGGCTGCCTCATGGTTGTGAACTACAATTCACAGACCGGAAATACGGAAAAACCCCAGCAAACAATGCAGGACATGCAGTCTCTACTGAAGGTGTGTTTGAGGGGCGAGGGCAAGTTGATCACGGCCCGCCCTTCCAATCCGATCTCGTCACCCATCACCCCCCGCGCCTGCGCTGGGCGTCCGCCTGACAATGGGTCCAGCCCAAAAAGGAAAGTCTGTGGGAAGGTCACCAACAATTTACCCACCCTGCACGTTGCGTGAAATTGCAAGTGCCATGTGATCTGACGCGGCCCAACCCGCCCCAAAGTCTGTTCAACTTAGGAAGTTTGGTTCTATCAAATGATCATGGCTCAACCGGTTTGCATTGGCGTCACAGTCTCCCCATGAAGTGCGTTTGGCATTTCGGCGATGGAAGCCCGCACCCTTCAGAGGCAGTGGAGTCCCATTCACCGCGAATGCAAACCGCATTTGCGTGTTGGAGTCGCTCCGTTTGTGGTTCAATGTGTCGAGTCTTCTCAATTGAGTGGCCAATTTGACATTGGCACGCAAGCAAGGCTATTTCAGCCCTTTGCCATTAAGGGTCTTTGGAGTCTTGAAGAAGCTTGTTGTGGCGTTCCTGATACTTTCGGTAAGAATCCTCCCAACCCAACTGCCCCAGCCCACCCAGCCCTCATCCCCTCCCCTAAAAGTCCTGCCGACGCCCCTTTGGATAGCACGAAATGCACCAATCGTTTTGAGGAGATGAGAGTTGTTTAAGGGGTATTGTCCTCTCGCTGACAGTCAGTGCGGGGTCATTGTGTGTGTAATGGTTTGACTGCAGCTCCGTGGAGGCATGTTAGATACGCCAACGCCTTGTGAGAAACCCACTTGACTTGGGGGGCTGTGTTTGGCTTTGGGGTGGGTGGTTGGAGGGCAAGTTTGGTGCAGGGATAGCGGCGAGGTTCCCATGCATTCTGGCCAAGCTTTGTCCCTCCCATCCCTCCAATTGTTGATGACCTTTCCCTTTGCCCGCAACCCCCCCCCCAACCTCCCCAACCTCCCCAACCTCCCCAACCTCCCCAACCCCCCCAACGTCCCCACCCTGCCCTCCCTCGCGCCTACTGCCCAGCCCAGCCACTTCTCTGCCACACCTGACTGGCTCAACGGTCAAAGCTGGCAGGAATCGGAACCCTGAAAAGGACGGACCCTCTTTATCCAACCCCACAAATACCTCAAACAAATACCCCAACCTCTTTTAACCTTTCTGGTGTCTAGCCCCAAAAACTGGATTCGGTTGAGGTGCCCTCACCAGAAAAAAAAGGCTGGCGCAGGCTCCGTGCAAGATTGCGTTTCGAAAAGTGGGGTGCAATGCAAACATGGCCCCTTTGGGGACCCGACAAAATGTACTTGGATGCTCAATCCACTCGGAAAGAAGGTGATGTCACCATGGTTACAAGTGGGACAACCAATCTTGGTTCACATATAGCCATGGTTACTAACTATGTCCATTCAAGTGACATCAAGAATGCCCTTTTCATTGTAGTTCAAACGGGCACCACCAAAGCCATTTTGAGTGCCTGATTGAAATTGAACCACTTTAATCGACTTTGCACGTTGACGCCAGCCCCCCCCGTCTCGCGCCATCCAGGGACGACTCCAGGTCTGCGTGCTGGGTCTCGGCCTTTGGATCGTCCAGCTCCTGAAGGAACTTGTACCTCGGACCCGTGCAGTCCTGGACCCATTGATGGAGTCCAGCAGAAAACTGAATGTCACTTCAATGGGGATCAAGTTGGCATTCGGCCTGCAAACAAAATTGTGGTTATCATGTTCGACCGTCCCGACAACCCACACAAACCGTCATGACTGCCGGCTCTTGCAAATGTGGCACAAATTGGGCTTTTTGAGCACCTGGCCGGGGGTGGATTCCCCAGATATCGCAAATAAACTAACCACAAGCAATTCTAAATCAAAGGAGATGCGCTTGTTTTTCCCCTGCAGCATGCGCACGGCTGTCTAAACTCCTTGTATCCAGCAGTGGACACCGCAAATTTGGGACGCCCTCATCGCTCCCCACATGTTTTGGCGTTTTGGTTTTTCAGGGCATCGCTTTTATAAATTGTATGTTCAAATGCGGGCATGTCTAATGTTGCAATAGACCCGTTGCCCCAAATATCCAAGTCAGAAGGCTTCCAAACATGATATGATGTTTTCCAATCTGCGCTACTGAACTTACTTGTTTGGGGCTCTTCCACAAGCACGACCAGCTTGTGCATGAATGCTGCAGGGTGCTGCTGCAAGGGGCTGTTGCCGCGTGCTGCCGCAGGCCGATAAGAGTTGTCCAGGATTGCTGTTGCAAGGCGCTGTTGCAGGGCTCTGCTGCAGGGTGGTAAACCAAAACCAAGGGGCTTTCTAACAGAGGCAAGTGTTGTTCAGGACACAAATGGGCAACTGGGCAACTTGAAGCCCGTTAGGCAACGCTTCAGGCATCGTTTGGGCATCGCTTCGGCGCATCTTCTTTCTACATGTTGGTTTCTGCTTGGTTTTCCTCTGAACCTCCGCGATTAAGTAGCTTGTTGATACCTACAAGAGCAGGGCATGGCTTTTGGGACGCCCCCCACCGCTTCCCGCAGCTTTCTTCACTTTTGGAAAACTGATATCCGCCGAATACATATTCTAGACAACGTGAGTTTTGACGGTGGCTCATGTAGGGGTCAACCTGGCTGTGGGTCACTACTAGAAGTCTTCCGAGAAGAGACTGTGCTACACGTTCAACACCCTGGTCACTGACGCGGGGATTGGAGTACCCCATCTGTGAACACGGTTGTAGCATTGAGCTCGCCGTATGAGCCAGAACAAAAGGTATGGTTCCTCTTGGCTTCTTTTGACACTCCCAACAAGAGGATTCTCTGAAAAAGCAAAAGCAGGAAAGCCCCGAGCGCATCCTGCAGCCGAGGCGCCCCTTGCTCAGGAAGTCCATCGAACTCCGGACAATTCCGCCCACGGAGTGACTCTTGTGACGATCTAATTCAAAACAAATTAATAACGGTTTATCAGTTCATTAAACAACTGTTGCAAACTGATCTTCAAAACTAATCTTCAAACTGCGCCCCATGCAGCGTATTCTCGCAACGCCGAAGCGGCGATTGCTCTTGAGTACACAACACCTTGGACCCGACTCGTCTGCGGCACAAACGTCCAACGCTACTTGCTACAAATTGGGGGCCCATCTTTCCAGCACGAAACCTTCTAGCTTTTTGACCCCCAATGTTACCTCCTGGTTTGCAAAAGCCGGTTTGGGGTTGGAAAAACAGAGCAGCTACCACATGTCTCGCTTTGTAAAAACCCAAGTGAGCTCATGCGCACAGAAACATACCCACCAGCTGCCTTTGCGTGGCCGAAAGGGGCACAACATGACAGGGGGGTGTGGCGGGGGTGTCAAAAAAGTTCAAGCAGAAGGTAGAATTAATTTGCTTGTGATTTTGTGCTCACTCAAGGGTCTGGCAAGTCATGCCTCCAACTAAGGAACGTGCACGGAAGGAACTCTATGATGATCGGGAAGCCATTAAACACTCGCTCGTGTCATTCGCCATCCAAGCTGCTGCCGCCTTTTGACGGTGAAGTGCCAGCTGCCAATGGCATCAGTTGGATCTCACGTGACCAGTTGCCGTCAGTCGCCAACTCACGGCCAATCCAATGGTCCACACTCCGTAAGGAAACACAAGACGCGAGGATTGTTTGAACAGCTTCTCAGCCACGGCTGATTCGCAACGTCTTTTCCACCTCCGGGTGTGGAGGTCCCTCTCAATAAACGAAAACGTGCTCAACTGGATGTTTCTTATGGGGACCGACTTAGAGTGGTGTCTTTGTCGCTTCCCTTGAATTGCATCCATCCACGAAAGCGTCGTTCATCACTCTGTCGGGCCTAAGCCAATTTTCTCGGGACTGGCCAAGTGCGGAGAAGCCCCAGGCGATTTGCCCATGGCTACCTCCGCACACGCCTATACACGCTAGCATGCCGCTCCATTTGAAATCTTGAGGGGTGGGGCTTAATGCCAGCAATCGTTGTGCGGGCGATTTGCACCGAAAGTCGTCCCTTCGACCACTTGGGCCCCGTGTCTCACTGCAGCTGCATTACCTGGAAACATGCACTAGTTGGCCCAAATTCCTATATAAACCATCTCAAAATTGTTTGGACATGCATCCCCTCCGAAATGCTGCCAAAGGGTTCCCAATTAGAAATCATCCTGGGTGGACCCAAGAAAAGTCCGAACCTTTTGCAAAGTCCAGACAATGGGGAAGAACGAGCTTGTGATTCTAAAGCGTTGGTGGGGGGCCTGCGACGGGTCTTAACGTTGACGGTGCGCTGGCGCTTGCGCTGGTGCTTGCAGTTCCGTTTGAGCTTGCACTTGCGCTTGTCTGCTTCCCCCTTGCAAGCCTTCAACGGAGCTCCGCTCCGACTTTTGACTGCTCTGCAAACCAGCTTGGAAAGCGTACCATCGCGTCCACTCTACATGCACTCTGGGAAGGGGTCTGGAATGCATCTCTCGATGGGATGTGTAAATTGCCGTCTTTTCTATTGTTTGCTTGGTATGTGGCAAGGAATTCTAACTAAATTCTAAACTTAAGATAGAATTTCCGAATAAGTATGTCCTTATTGAGGCCTAGCCAATTTTTAGAGAGGGCGGTGGTGAAGATATGAGTTTAGTGCGACCTCTGCTCGAATTCAAGCTGAATTTAAATAGAGTTCCTTTCCAAGAGAATTTGCTTTCAACATCAGTCAACATGTCAACAAGTCAACAAAATGAAACGTGCAGTTCCTTTTTCCGAATAGAATCTGCTCTACAATCAGAGTTAGCACGTCTACACAATGAACAAGCACGCTGGCATCACCAAATCACCAGCAAGCCTGGCATGACCAGACAGCATCCCTGGCATCATCCCTGGCATCACCAGCCAGCATCCCCCTCCAGCATCACCAGCATCCTCTGTATCTTCAGCATCCCCTGCATTCCCCCAACCCACCCTGACCTAAAGGTTACTCTCGAGCTTGTTTAGAAAAATGAACAGCGGGCAAACTAAATGGGGCAAACTAAATGGTTTCTGGTTCTACCCAGCAAGGTATGCGGCCATGTTCAGTTTCCCAGAATCGTCACGTGCGCAATTTGTGTGGGCATCACACAATGCCCCACGAAAGCACAACTGCAGAGCTGCGACTAAAGGAGAAAACGGGTCAACATATTGGCGACGACTCGGAAAATACCGACAGACACTATGCATAATTTTCACTAGAGCTGGAATCAGATTTCACCAGCGGAAGACCATCAAAGGAGCGCTCAAGCACGCGTCTGGGGCCAGAACACTTTGCTGGGAGGCCCACACCAACTTTGAGCACCACTGCTGGGTCTAGAGGTTTCCTGAAACCGTGACCACCTCCCCCCCTCGACAGTCCCATCTGAAATTTGAGGATACATGCGGCCGTTCGGCCGTGGCAAAATTGTTTAGCAGCGCCCACCTCCCATTCATTGATCCACGCAGTCTGCATCGGCGGAAGTGCCGGGCAGACTGAGCCGCGAGGATCCTGCCGAAGTCTGGACACAAGTTGGCCTTTGCCTAAAAGGTCTCTTCTGGTTGCCTGTCTGCATTCCTCTTGAAACTGCCCACAAGGACCACCGTACCTAGCCTAGGATGAGGCGATGAAAAACCCCGACGAACGTGTCATTTCTGTCCGACCCAAAATTGTCAAGGCATTGCCAGGCGTTCCAGATTCGACACTACATGTTCACAAGCACTTTGACTCACAACTTGCGACCCCGCATCTTGAGCACTTGTTTTTTAATTTTCTCAAAGCCCTCCAGCAACTCGCGGGGTTCAGTAGAAACGAACAATCTCTTAATGAACTGAGCTGCAGGTAAGTACAGCTCTTCGGATTCCGGTGGTTCACAAGCCACAGGTCCGCCTCCATGTCAATAGCGAAGACCTCCGCCTCCTGGAAGTGTGGCTTCATCAAATGGTGAAAGTCAAAACGGCGTCTCAGCAAGTCCGTCGGCTTTTATGTTTGCTTCTCAATGCTTGAGGCACTCGCAGAATCGGCCAGAGTGGTCCGACCTTTTCTCCATTTTGCTAGCAGATTCGCAGCTCCACATTGTGTGTCACGCTTGGATCTGGCTTGCTGGCTTGCTGGTTTGCTGTTTCGTTGATTGCTTGTCAAGCAACGGCTCTTGAGGGGTATCGAAATGCCTCAAACAGCTTGCAGTGACATGTCCCGTTCAAATGGAATCGGGGTGACATGTCCGAGGCCCTGACATTCTCACGCAGCGAAAGATCAAGCAACTTGCCCCCAACAGTCACTGCATCCCAATGAAAAGTCTCGTGGAAACTTGGTGGGTGAGTCATATCCTTCTTGCTTCTGCGCATCATCATGAAAATTAACTTTGCTAACAAGCAGCGACCCCTGTCTGCCCTCATTTCAGCTTCCGGGCTGAAACCGACCCAGCGTTTTCAAGCACTTTCAGGACTGCGCACTCTCAGCACCGAACCCGGGTGCCCCAACATGAAAAGCACACCCGCAGGACTGCGCACGCGATGCACACAGAACCCGTGTGCCCCAAAATGAAAAGCACACCCGCAGGACCACCCGTGTTCTATTGCAGCCCCGCACGAAGCGCATGCCAAATGATAAGCACGCCCGTTCTATTGCCGCCCTGAATGCCAATTGAGAAACATGACCGTACGGCCTGAAAACCGGCCTGCGCTTCATAGTACCGAATGAATTTTTGAGTGGGACTTACCACATGTTTTTCTTCAATCCACTCTCAAACTGCGGGGCAAACAAGTGGACTTTGTTTTCTTGGTTTTTTGGAGTTTGAGTGCATCATTCTGAATTTTGCGGCTTATTGAGGCTGAAACAAACTAACTCCGTCCGGGCGGGGCCAAAACAAAAACAAAAGCTCTCAAAATCGTTCTGGGCCCGAAACAGTGCCGGCACCGGCTTCTGGAAACCTAGACCTGCCTCGCTCACGGTGTCAGCCATGGACACTGTGCGGGACATGGTGTCTCCCTCACTGGTGTGGGCCTTGCGCGTGAAATCCCTCCAACAAAACTGTCCCTCTCAATCCCATCACTTCCGCTTATCATTCCCCGGTCCATAGGCAGCTTTCCAACAATCGCAGTGTCAAGCGACCCAAAATCAGAAGCCGATGGTTCTTTGCTGAAGCCACTGAAAAACCGCGAACACTGTGTGACACTGGAACAAAGTCGCATGACCATTTTTGGAACGCTCGAAAATAACCGACCGAATGCAAGGCTGTTGATTGATCTCTGCTCACATTAGCCATTTAAAATGAGTTGACGCCGTCCCGGTCATATGTCAAAGGGTCAGGAATCATCCCACGAGTTGTGACCGCTCATGCAGAAGGAGGCCTGGTTTGTACCTCAAACACGGGTCCCCTTGTACTTCATTTCACAAAGGGAGTCCATTTCGTCCGTCTCCTATGTCGTCGACTTTTGCTTGTCCTGCTGTACAAGCTGCTGTTTGCCTTTATTTTTGCATTGCAGCACGTGTTCTGCTTTGCTGGTAGCTTTTTACGCCGATCTAAAAAAACAACTGACTCGATTAATAAGTGAGCGTGGAGTTGAAGCATTCTGTTTCAATTGGAACACAGAGTTTGAAAACATGAAGGCCCTTCAACACCTGCTCAGGGAAGCTCCCCGTTTCCAGCGAGGAAAAACGGATGTGTTTGGTTGGCCTCGCCTGGGCATGCTTTGGAGCTGACAGGTTGGTTTATTTAAAAACACACCTGACGCTTCGCAGTTTCGTGGCTTTGTGCGAAGAAAATCCAGGTAGCCGTTCAACTTTGGCCCATGGATCTTTATAGGCGCGACAGCCAGCAATCGCTTTGAACATGCCTTTCATCCAATGATTCCCATTTTGGGGGATGACAAGGGAGCTTCTCGGGAAAGCAAACTGCCGAACGCCCTGACCTCGGATGGGAGGCTCTCCTCACCCTCGCAGCAGACCCCATCCCATGCTGTTGTCCCATCCTGCGAGCACTGGCAGTCTGGTAGTCCAACAGAAGCTCCACATGTTGAACACACCCCAGTTTCATTGGGGTGGTTTGGCAGTGGCAACCTTCTCAAGCATCCTGATGCTTAAATGCCTGTCAAAGCCGGGTATACATGTTGAAAGAGAGCAAACCACACCCAAACCCGGGAACTGACAAACTGGCTGCCAAGAATATTCAATGCGGAACTTGGAGAGCACCACAATGTGTCGAACTTTGTCTCCAAGAGAGTTGCAAACGTGTGAAATGTCTTGAATGACAAAGCTGTTTCCTTGGAGTGTCAACAGGCTACGGGTCGTGGAATGCGTCAATTGAGCTTCCTATTTTCGGACCCCAAGAAAGCGTCATTTGACGTTTTTGTTGTCAAGCGACCCTCCCCCAAACAGGCCCTCACTCGCGCCTCCAATTTTGCCGACGCGGCTTCCAGGATTTTCTCCTTTGGGTCTACAACCACCAAGCAAACAGGAAAAAATGCCGGCTGGTATGCGTGTGTGTGTGTGTGTGTGTGTGTGTGTGTATGTGGTGTGTGTGTGTGTGTTGGTGTGTGTGTGTGGGTGTGTGGGGGTGCGGGTGCGGGTGCGGGTGCGGGTGCGGGTGCGGGTGCGCGTGCGCGTGCGCGTGCGCGTGCGTGTGCGCGTGCGCGTGCGCGTGCGCCTGCGCGTGCGCGTGCGCGTGCGCATGCGCGTGCGCGTGCGCGTGCGCGTGTGCGTGCGTGCGTGCGTGGGTGCGTGCGTGCGTGCGTGCGTGCGTGGGAGGGTGGGTGCGTGGGAGGGTGGGTGCGTGGGTGGGCGGGTGGGTGTGTGTGTGTGTGTCTGTGTCTGTGTCTGTGTCTGTGTGTCTGTGTCTGTGTCTGTGTGTCTGTGTGTCTGTGTCTGTGTGTCTGTGTGCGTCTCCGTGTGTCTCCGTGTGTCTGTGTGTGTGTCTCTGTGTGTGTGTGTGTCTGTGTGTGTCTCTGTGTGTGTGTGTGTCTGTGTGTGTGTCTGTGTGTGTCTGTGTGCGTGTGTCTGTGTGTGTGTGTCTGTGTGTGTGTGTGTGTGTGTCTGTGTGTGTGTCTGTGTGTGTGTTCTTGTGGT